AACCGCGGTGTGACTGTGGGAGCACGAGGGGCCGCATCCTGCTGCCTTTGGGGCACAGCAGGGCTCAGTGGTGACTGTGTCCCTGGCTGGCAGGACATGTCCTCTCCATGAAACGTGGATGGCACATCCCTGTCTCCACTCGGTCACGAAGCTGTCGGTGCTGTGGCCATGCCAGGCTGTACGGGGATGCTGAGCAGGGCACAGAGTGTCCCCCGTGGGCTGGTGGCCCCGCACGCTGGCCCAGGAGGTGACAAGTGGGATGTCTCCCATGGACTGGTGGCATCTTGGGGGTTTGAAGGTGCTTTTCAGGGGGTGAACTGGGAGTGATCCAGGCTGGCGGCATCTCCCGGTGCTTCTGAGGGATGTAGCCCTTCAGCAGCTCCAGCCCTGGGGACTCTCTGGTGGGGGAACCTCTCTCCTTGACAGCTGCCACCCTGCTCAATTCTGTGCCTCTCCGGATGCGCTGGGGCTGGGATGCTGAGCCGCAGGGTGGGCAAGGGGCTTTCGGAGGATGACAAGTGACCACCCTGAGCTTCAAACCACCGGGTGAAGGAGGCAGCAATGGGTATTTGGGGCAGGTGTGGGGTGCGTGGGCAGGTCCTTCCTCTTCACTAGGAACCTGCATCCCCATGGGGCCATCGTGGGGGACCAGCTCCCCCTTCAGATGATGTTTTGGATGTGCTGGTGCTCGATGGAGATGCCTTAAGGTTTGGGTCCAAGTCTGGTTCCACCGTCTCCTCGGCGCTGCTGGTTTCATGGGAGAAATGGCTGCCGGTGGCACGGCTCACCCGGGGTTGTTCCCACAGGAGGTGATTGTCCCCGAGGGCAAGTGGAGGAAGGTGTCACCCGCCTCGCTGTCACTGTCGCTGCCGGACACCGACTACCAGTGCATCCACCGGACCTCCGTCAGCAGCCTGAGCACCAAGGAAAGCTCCTTCACCTCCGAGGAGCCCCTGGTTTCGGGTGAGGGCTGCGTCCGACCCAGGGATGTGGGTTTGTGCCCTGTCCCACGCGTGGCGCTGGGTGTAAACCTCCATAAATACACGTTCATGCCTCCTCCTCTCTCGTGGAGGGGATTTCTGCCTTGCAGATGAGCAAGGTTGAGGTTGAGGGGTCGGTGATGGGGTCCTGGGGATGGGATCTCCTGGCTGAGGGGTCTGAGCCCTCGGTGTGCGCCTCCAACGCCTGTGCAGGAGGAATATTTGATGCTTGAAGGCTCCCGGTTGCCAGAGAAGCACGAGCATCTGCCCAGCGTCACCGTGCCGCTGACTCTCGGCTTGCGTTTCAGAAAGTGCAATAAACACCGAGGAGGAGCTGGAGGTGGAGCAGAGCTGCGTGGCGGAGCTGAGACCTTCTGACTACCAGCTTCTGAAGATCTTCATCGTGCTGTAAGTGTGCTGAGGGTGGCCGCGGCGTGGAGAGGATGGAGGGGGCTACACTGGGAACGTCCGTCTCATCCACCGGCCGCTGAGCGCTTGTGCTTGTTCCTCTGCTCCCAGCATCTGCCTCCTGGTCGTGTCCTCCTCATACCTGGCGTTTCGCATCTTCCGTCTGGAGCAGCAGCTCTGCTCTCTGAACCGGGACTACCTCTCCCGCGGGCACAGGAGGTGAGGGACCCTCAGGGGGAGGTTTCGGGGCAGTGGAGGACCCGAGGGATGTGATGCAAAGAGCAACGGCTCCGCTCCATGGCAGATCCCAGGGATGCTTCGCCCCTTACCCTACGCCAGCTGTTGGGATGGCCGTCCCCAAAGTGCCATCCCTGCGCAATAGGTGATCCCATCAGCTGCTGGGATGGGGTTTGGTTTGAGCGACCAGGAAAAGCTCTGCTGTCCCTGAGACTTGCAGCCCTTGGGAAGAGGTTTCCTTGCGGGTTTGGGGCTGGTTCCCCAGTTGTAGGAGGCACCACGGCCTCTTGGTTACGCCTTGTGACTAACGTGACCGTGGGCATCAGGAAGGGATGGACAGCAGTGGGTTCTCTTGGGTTGGGGACATCAGGAGGGGGTCTTTCTCCTCGTGCCCATGGCACCCGGGCACCGGGCTGGGGGGATGGTGCCTCCCCGGCTGCTCGCCCAGTCTTACCCTGCTCTCTGCTTGCAGGTGACCGTTACCCCAGCGCTGGCTGAGGATGGACACCGAGGCGGTGGCACCCTGCGTACAGAACCTAGTGCTATGTCCTGCCAGCTGTGGCTGTTGCACGTGTCCCGGCTTTTCCTCGGCCGGTAAAACGGGACCAAGTACCTTCTCTCTTCCTACTGGCACCCACTCCCGGCGGGACCACCCGGCCGGCTCACAGCCACCGGTGCCAACTCCCTGTCCCACTGGAAACCCATTCTCTCCCCGGGATGCTGCTGTGCTGTAGCACCGGACGATGGCTCGGGGCTGCCGAGCGGTTGGACCTCCCCTTAGGACTTGCTGCTAAAATGGGCACCGGTTTTTATTCCAGACTTGGATTTTTCTTGTTTAAAAGATGACCTTAGGCTCACCGGGAACCCCTAAAAACCGTGGATGAGTTGCTGCTGCTGCTCTGGGTGAAGCCCAGGCAGTGGCTCTGGG